CACCCCAGTCTCTCTGTGAAAGAGCTGGATTTTGATGGGGTTCCTGCCAAGCTTTTATCAGCTGAAGGCACCATCTACTGGCAGAAGGAATGGGTTTGTTTATTTCCATGGAGAAGCAGGAACGCTTGGAGGTTAGGATTAAGAGTGCAATTCTTACTAACCATAATTGTTGAGGGTTAGCTGAAGAGAGAATCAACCAGCTGTACCTGCATGGAAGCCAAGCCTTGAGGAGTCTGGAATCACTGAGAACGAACCTTCCTTTGAACAGCCACCCATGTCGCAGTTGGTAGAGCATCAGCCTACAACTTCAGAGACCCGGGTTCAACTCTATGCTTATCTGTAGAAACTCACGTGGGAAAAGGATTTCAGTGGTTAAGCATTCCTTGAACATCTTCCAAATATCAAAACCCCCAAAAAGGTCACCATAATTTGGAAGCAAAGTCACGGCACGTAACCATCATCCTCACTTCATTTTAGCTCAGTTCTGTGTGACAACATGGTGGTGTCCATTGGCTGGAGATGGAAGGATTTGGCTCTGGATTGATTTAGCTCTTCCCTCAGTCCAACCTTTCGCCACTCCTGTTCGTGAACTCAAACTCCCAGAAGCCTTCACCACAAGTTGTGCTGGCTGGAATCCCTGGGAGTTGCAGTCCAAGAAGATATGAGAAGCCGAGCCTGGGAACCACTCTTTTAGCATAAGGGTAGTTCTACTAGCATAGAGCAGTTTTCTCCATCAGGAGATGCTTCTGCTTATTTCCCAACTTTGAGTTAGGATTGGGCTGTCAAGGCTTCATTTCTTGGTGCCCTTACCAGGGAGTATATCCAATGGAACTTAACCCCTGAGCATTTGCACATCAATTAGAATTTTATAAGAGATGTTGTTGTTTAGTCGTTAAATCGTGTCCAACTCTTCGTGATCCCATGGACCAGAGCGTGCCAGTCCCTCCTGTCTTCCACTGCCTCCCGGAGTTGGGTCAAATTCATGTTGGTGGCTTCGATGACACTGTCCAGCCATCTTGTCCTCTGTTGTCCCCTTCTCCTCTTGCCCTCACACTTTCCCAACATCAGGGTCTTTTCCAGGGAGTCTTCTCTTCTCATGGGATGGCCAAAGGATTGGAGCCTCAGCTTCAGGACCTACCCTTCCAATAAGAGATGTACTACACCCTAATTGTCTTCTATTTCTTACTGCTACTGATAGAATTGTAGCCAAAGTTAGATTGTTGCTTGCAACAGTCCAGGCTCATAATGAAGTCTAGAACTGAGGTCTAGTTTAATAGTTATAACTTCTTCTTTGGGGCACTCCAATATTTGGAGTTGGCTTTCAGAATGTTAAATGCTGCTATGAGCGCATTATATTGATGTCCTCCTGAGCACTAATAATTTGGCAACTGAATGCCTTTTTTTTCCCTGTCCTGTAATGACCTAGGTATTGTCTCTCTCCTACGCAACCCTATCCTGCACAACAGAAGGACTGCTACACAGCAATGGAGCACTTCATGGAACATGCAGAGAACTATGGGGTGGATCCCTCCCAGATCATCATTGGCAGGGACAGTGCAGGAGGCAATTATGCTGCAGCCATTGCCCAAAAACTGGTGGGGAGATCAGACCTCCCCAAGTTACCAGACCCTCCTGGACAAGGTGCTTACCCCAGTGCAGGAGTTTTCTGCCACCTACATCAATGACATCATTTTCTTTCATCTGTCTTGGGAGGACACCTGAGGGTTGCATTAGAGGCACTGAGGAAGGCTGGTTTGACAGCCAATCCCTGCAAATGGAAGATAGCACAGAGTGACATATCTAGGCTTCATAGTGGGAAGAGGCAAAATTAAGCCAGTAGCCAACAAAGTCACCAGCATCTCCTCCTGGCCCCATTCTCGGACAAAGAAAGAGGTGCGCCAGGTCTTGGGACTCACTGGCCATTATAGACCAATAATCTCAAATTTTGTGGAGGATGCTGCCTCCTTGACTGGTCTCACTGATAGTTGTTCCCCCAAAGAGAGATGGGGTGATAAAGAGCAGTGAACCTTTGATGAACTGATACGAAGGCTGTGTTCCATACCTTTGACTTTAACAAGCCCTTTATCCTAATCATGCTGTAAGGGGACGTGGTGGCGCTGTGGGCGAAACCATAGAAGCCTGTGCTGGAGGTTCAGAAGTCCAGCAGTCGTAAGATTGAATCTACATGATGGAGTGAGCGCCCATCGCTTGTCCCAGCTCCCGCCAACCTAGTGGTTCGAAAGCATGCAAATACAAGTAGATAAATAGGGACCACCTCGGTGGGAAGGTAACAGCGTTCCGTGTCTAAGTCGCACTGGCCATGTGACCATGGAAGATTGTCTTTGGACAAAACGCTGGCTTTATGGCTTGGAAATGGGGATGAGCACCGCCCCCTAGAGTCGAACACGACTGGACAAAAACTGTCAAGGGGAACTTACCTTTACCTTTATCCTACTCATGGATGCCTCTGAACAGGGACTGGGGGCTGTTCTAGGTCAGCTTACTGAAAAAGGAGACCATATCAACTTGTTCCTCTGCTATAAATAGACAGCCCGGGAAGAAAAATATGCAGCAATAGAGATGGAAAGCCCTAGCTATCGAATAGAGATGGAATAGCCCTAGCTATTCTCCTTGTACAAGAGGATGAAGGGCTCTGTTGTTGTTTTTCAGACATCTGAGGACTGGTTGTTCCTGAGAGGGCTGTTGGTGTATTGCCTTTGGTACATATCCTTATCAGCAGTCTGAACTTTTCTCCAGTAATCTAGCTTGTCACCTGCATGTTGTTGTTGTTAAAGTGTGCTGTGAAAGCATGTTGACTGCTGGTTAATTGCAACATCAATCAAGTTGCATTATGTTGGGTTTCACAAGGATGTCATGAATGTCTTTTATGTTGCAGAGATGTTTCAGCAAGAGAGAGGCCGATATGAACATACAGATATGGAGAGAGACAAAAAGCCCACCACCCAACCAAACGGCACACGTTGTGATGTTGCGCGCTTGGTCAACTTTTGGTTCTAGATCATACTCCATTTTGGGTTGACCGTCCTTCAACTGTAGCCTCATTGCTTTTCCCCAGGGGTCAATGGCTCATCACAGGAAATGCTTTCCTTTCCCATAATTGATACACTGCTGAGATTACTCTTACTGTGTTGTTATGGGATGCAACACTGTTCCAGTGGTGGTGTGTGGAAGTGAAGGCGAATGTCTGTTAATACAGGCAATAGTCAAAGTGCTTCTCATATACCTGTATTTTTCTGTGTATAAGACACCAAAGTGCTTCTCATATACCCGTATTTTTCCATGTATAGGACGCCTCCCTCCACTTTTCTAACCCAAAATTAAGAAATCTAAGGGGGGCTCAGCAAGTGGAGGGGAAAGCAGGGATTAAAGCCCTGCAGGATCACTTTGATCCCTGCTTTCCCCTCCACTTATTTTTGTTCTTTCTTCAGCTTACTTCCCTGTATAAGACGACCCTCAATTTTTAGTCTAAAGATTTTAGACAAAAGTATAGTCTTATACATGGAAAAATACGGTACCTATTTCCAGTGTTGCAAAACCAGTTGCCCCTGGAGACCTGGATTGGTCAGAAAGTTGTTCATCTCCAGACTACTGCCCAACCAAGCACCCATAATGAACAAGGTGACAGCTGATGACTTGCCAGACAGATGGAGACACTATAAGATTGAGGTCCATTTAGGCCAGCATATCATTTCTACCTCATGGAAAGACTGAAAGTAACTTCCCTCTCCCAGTGTAGGCTAAGCCTACATGTCAGGGAAATGATATGGTGGGACTATACGTCCCACAATACTACAGGCAACATAGGTGCTAACCACACTGCTGTTTCTCAGGCTTGTGGTTCAAACATGACTTTTCTGAGCTCAGCTGTATATTTCCACCAGAAGATGCTGTTGGCAGCCACTGCGGGTGGTCATTTTTTTCCCGGCGGCCATTTTGGAACTGCCAATCAGCTGTTTTTAAAACATCGCTATGCGAAAATCGGTAAGCGAAACAGCTTACCAATCATCGCAAAGTGATTTTTTACCATTGAAAACATCATTATGCAATTGCAAAAAATCTGTCGCTATGCGGATTCGTCATTAAACAAGGCGCTCGTTAAGCGAGGCACCACTGTACTTCAGGCGGTGGTGAGCGCTCCAATGCTGGACCACCGTCCTTCAGATCTGCTTTGATTTGGATTCCTGCCTTGAGCGGGGGTGGGTGTGGGGGTGTTGGACTCGAAGGCCTTAGGGGCCCCTCCCGGATCAATTGTTCTATTGGTTGTATGAAAGCACAGCTGGCCAATTATGTACTTAGAGCACCAGAGATATCAGGAGGTGGAAATAACAACTGAAGCAACAGGACAGAGAGATTAACAGACTGAGCCACAGAAGAGGAAATTGAAATCAGTTTGACTAGTGCTTACATAAATTATTAAAAGCACATCAAATTAATCCAGCAAGATAAGGCAGACAAAGTAGGAATCGAAGGGTTTGTGGAAAGCAATGTCTGAAGGATGAATAAATTAAATGAAAATAAGGAATGAATTAATATAGATGCATTGACTCCTCCAGGAACAGAGGAAAAGTTTTCAGTGCCTTATAGACAGGCTTACGTTAGTATCAAAAGATCACCAAATGTTATGCTGTCTCTTAAGCTGTTTTCCTTGGACATTCAATAGGAATAATCAAACTGTGTGCCTGCAAGGGATATTTTGATGTTACCACCCCAAGTTTCCCATTTCATAAAAAAACACACCTCCTTTTTAATATCAGAGTAAGAAAATCTGTGAATATTCCGAACATCCTTACATTCACAGTTTGCTCCATCATGAGGATGGCCATCCTTACATCAGACGAGATTCCTGTAGGTGTCAACATCAGATATCGCAATACACATCAGATCAATGATGCCACTCCCAATCAGTTAATAGCTAGGTTCCTGGGTGTAGAAGAACAAGGACCTATTTGATCTGATCCTATGATGTCTCAAGGAGAGAGCTGTAGACGTTTGGAGACAGATGCCTCTGTGAAACCAGCTAGTAAAGAGTGTGGTCTGCATATACAGCCTTGGCCAAATTTGCTTGACAGAAGTGGGCATGGGGCTTCTTTCTACCATCTTGGTTTGGACCCTAGGAGCAATAGTGATTAGTCTTCTCTTGCTAATTATCTGGACAATTTATTACGATTGCACCCGAACGAGGATGGCTCCCGAATTTGACCATCCAGTGAAGCTACGAGTTGTTCACTGTGCATTTCTTATGGCTATGATTTTGGTAAGTTCTGCCTTCATTAGAAAGTTGTGTTTTGGGGCCTTGATGGATATTGAGGGGGTGTGAAATATCCTATGTATAATAACAAAGAAGGAGGCTGGGAGAGAAGATTTATTTATTTATTTATTTTTGGACTTATATACCGCCCCATAGCGCTACAAGCACTCTCCAGGCGGTTTACAATTTTTAATTATACCTAACAAAGAGGCAGGCTGGGAGAGAAGATTTAAATTAAGCTGCGTTCCTACCAGTGATGCTAAGGGATGACAGTAGCCGCATTTCATTCAATATATTAGAAGGACAGGAACCAGAGAGGAAAAACGTGAAGAAAGAAGAAACACATTGACTTTCTAGGGGGCGTATCTACTATTGTCTCGACTAGACTAAGCACATTAAAATAAATGGGACTTGATAGTAGTGGCATAAATCCCATTCATTTTAAAATCTTATTTATTTATTTAATTTATTTATTCCATTTATACCCTGCCTATCTGGTCATATTGACCACTCTAGGCGGCTTACAACACAAAAACACAAAATACAAAAACAATATATAAATAAAAGGAATTTGTAGACAATTAAAAATTCTACAAGATGGAAAAGGGAAAAACATAGTAAAGAAAGCAAGGGAGAGGTCAGGGATTAACTGGGGGGGGGGAAGGCCTGCCTAAACATCCATGTTTTCAGTTGTTTCTTAAAAATACCCAGCGAGGGAGCCACGCGAATCTCTGGAGGCAGGGAGAAAAATCTTGTTTGTTTCAATGGGCTTATTGTAACCGGCACTAACACCCAATTCCTATTCCCATTGAAAATGAATAAAACTTAATAATAATAATTAAAAACCGCATATATCTGAGTATCCCCATGCCTGTTGGGGAATTCTGTTCCATCAAGTAGCTTTCAAAGGGGAGTTTCCTGGAATCGGTTGTTGTGATATAATTGAATTGAAGTCAAATATGTTCCTCTCTTCTTTTTTTAAAATTCGTCTTCAAACAGGGGGAGATCTTTGAGATGCTGGGCCTCCGTGGACGCTTTTTTGTCACCCGTTTCTTGATGGCTCTTTTGAATCCAAAGATACATCCCAGCCTCTCCGTGAAAGACCTGGATTTTTCTGGGGTACCTGTCAAGGTTTATCAGCCTAAGGCACCACCTACCAGCAGAAGGAAAGGGTTTGTTTATTTCCATGGAGGAGCAGGCGTCGTTGGAACTACTAGTAAGAGTACAATTCTTATTAGCCAAAATGGTTGAGGACTAGCTGAGCAGAGAGTGAGCCAGCTGAATCTGTGCTCAATCCAGGTCCCTCTTGGCCTCAAAGTGTCTCAAACATCTTAGAATGAACCGCACTTTGTGTGCGTAGCAATGGATAAAGTGTCAGACTACAATACAGTGGCGCCTCGCTAGACAGTTACCCCGCATGACAGTTTTTTTCGCTAGACATTGACTTTTTTGCGATTGCTATAGCGATTCGCAAAACAGTGATTCCTATGGGGGAATTTCACTGGACAATGTTAGGTCCCTGCTTTGTAAACCAGTTTTTGCTAGACAACGATTTTGACAGCTCCCTCCGCGCTCGCAAAATGGGAGTTTTCGGGACCTAAGCTTCGCAAGACAGCTATTTAAACAGCTGATTGGCAGTTCGCAAAGCGGCTTTCCTATGGCCGATCTTCGCTAGACAACGACGATTCTTCCCCATTGGAAAGCATTAAACAGGTTTCAATGCATTCCAATAGGGAAATGCTTTTCGCTAGACAATGATTTTGCTAAACAGCGATTTCAGTGGAACGGATTATCATCGTCTAGCAAGGCACCACTTGTATAGGAGATCTGGGTTCACATCTATGCTCATCTGTGGAAACCCGCAGGTGATGCAGAGAGATGTTACTCTTCACTGTTCCCTGGGGACATCTTGTCAACAACTAAAGTGACTCACATACAATGACAGTAGACCATGTGGAGCCAGCGAGAGGAAGAACACGGGTTTCTTTAGCCAGGGAAAGTTTAAACCCACCCAATGACATTGTTTTTGATGTGATGCTAGGTTAAGAAAAGAGAGACCTCCATGGGTCCATTTAGGGGGAGCAATAGACACCAGTGCTTTTGGAGTGTTGGGTGGGTTGGGTGTATTCAATGGGGTGCACCACCCATCTAAGATCAATGGGAAAGCGAAATGGCCCCAAAAGGAAGTTGCCTTCGTGCAAGTCAGAAAGCACACGTTTTGTCCGCCCCTTGTTTTGCACTGAATAAGGAAGGCAGAAATCCTATTGCTTATGCTTATCATTTTAAAAAGTCCACTTAATAAATATTTTTGTCACATTTTTGCTGTTCTCATGCAAGATCCTTGAGGAGTTTTTTCCCTATAGTGTTGGGAATCAAAGCAATTCTTCGGATTACTTGCGTACATAGGCATGCACAGGCACACGCACAAAGAAATTTCAAAGAACTTAGTCTTGTTCTGGGTGTTGCCCTGATGATCACACTCTCATTTCTCCCTCTAGAGTACTATCAAGATATATGCAGTAGACTGGCCAAGGGTAGTGAATCAGTGCTTGTGGCAGTGGGGTAAGTGAACTTTGTATGGGTATGACTTGCCATTGTATGGGTATGACTTGTCTGTCCGTCTATTGCCTGAATCGGTGGTGGTTGGTGGCTTTGATCTTCACAGCACAGTAAATCTCTTGCATGTCAGTCTGAACTTTTGTATGCGCTGTCCAAGGTACTGAACCCTGTGTGCCATGTGGGTTCAGCACCTAGGACAAGTCCATTGAAGTCCAGACTATACCGAGAACAATTTCACTGACCCACAGATATCAGAGCCACCAGCTTTCATTGGTGTGAATAAGCTTCTTTCCTCTGTATCAGAGCCACCACTTTCATTGGTGTGAATAAGCTTCTTTCCTCACTTCATCTAGGACGCTAGGCACCTCAATCAGGAGTCTATCTGCTTTAGGCGTGGAGTAGGTGGGCTTGTGATTTCATTTCATCTGCACCTCAATCAGGAGTCTATCTGCTTCAGGCGTGGAGTAGGTGGGCTTGTGATTTCATGAGCCCCAGACAATCCGTCCTGTGCACAGTCCACTTCCGTTGTATGGTGTGTACAGGCTGTGGTCTGGGGCATGATGCCTGCTAGATGGTGCCATCAATTTATAAACCAAGATCTTGATCAAGTCTATGCCTGTAGCTCTAAAATTTAATATTCAAGAGAAGAGAAATTCTTGATACTCTGATCATGGGTGTATATAGTGGTCCACCTAATATAAGAACTGGAATAGCCTTCCATAAAATAAAGAGACTTTTGGGGTCATGTTTTCCAACACTGGTTTTTGCTTTTAGTCTATGGATTTCCAGTCCTTGAGTCAGCCTTCAAACCCATTGTGGCTGTATCTTCATTCCTCAATTGTTCTAATGGGAAATCAATCTGCTGTGTAAAAGTATTTACTGTATTTTCCATGTATAAGACACCACCATGTATAAGACCCCCCCCCACTTTTCTAATCGAAAATTAATAAATCTAAATGGGGCTTAGCAAGTGTAGGGGGAAAGGGATCAAAGCGCTGCAGGATCGCTTTGATCCCTGCTTTCCCCTCCACTTGTATTTGTTCTCTCCTCAGCTTACTTCTGTGTATAAGACAACCCTCAATATTTAGTCTAAAGATTTTAGACAAAAGTATAGTCTTATACACAGAAAAATGTGGTAAATAACAAGGTGAGAGGCCAGAACTGATGATATCACTAACCCAGATGCAAGGAGGTTAAACTAGGGAGGAAGTTCGGGGGCATGTGGCCAAATCCCACTCCCACAGTCTCCATATGTGTCAGCTCCAGTTCAGCCTTGAAACTTGACAATACAGATCTCTCCTTTGTGAGGCAGCTTCAGTCAAACATGCTTTGACTTATCCACTGAGTTTTTGAGACTAAACAAGAAAAGGTTGAAGGTACAGTGCGTGTTCTCCACTTTAGGTTGACTCTTTCCCCCTCATGTTAAGTGCATGGGATTGCAAAAGAATTCGATAAGTGAATGTGTTTTCGTGTTTTATGGTTCCCCAGGTATCGCCTCAGTCCTGAGCACCCCTATCCTACACAGCAGAAGGACTGCTACACAGCAACGGTGCACTTCATGCAACATGCAGAGAACTATGGGGTGGATCCCTCCCAGATCATCATTGGCAGGGACAGTGCAGGAGGCAATTATGCTGCAGCCATTGCCCAAAAACTGGTGGGGAGATCAGACCTCCCCAAGCTACGGGCGCAAGTGTTGATCTATGCGGGCCTCCAAGGTATGGACTTCAACCTACCTTCCTATCAGCAAAATGCCACTTTCCCGCTCTTGTACAGGCATAATGTTGTTTATTACGGCCTGCACTACCTGGGAAAGGACATCTCTCTGAGGGATGACGTCTTGAAGGGATCTCATGTGCCGGAGGCACTGAGGCTGAAATATGGGAAGTGGGTGAATCCTGACAACATTCCAGAGAGATTTAAGCGCCGAGGCTACAAGCGAGTCCCTCTTGCTCCTTTTAAGCCTGAAGTGTACAAGGAATTGTCCGACATCTTGGAAGTCTCTTTTTCTCCACTTTTTGCCGAAGACTCTGTTATCCAACAACTCCCGGAGACTTTAATTGTGAGCTGTGAATATGATGTGTTTCGGGATGACTCTCTCCTGTACAAGAAACGGCTGGAGGACAATGGAGTGAAAGTCAGCTGGTTCCATGCCAAAAATGGATTCCATGGGGTGATCAACTTCTTTGACTTTCTATTTTTCACATTCCCCACTGGGGTACAAATACTGGACCATATTGCAGAGTTTATCAAGCACTTATGAGACTTTCCCCCGAAATATGTGAGATGCAAGGGTTGCAACAAATACGACATCTAATGGTGGAAAATAAGAGTTTAACATTTCTAGTCTCTTTTATGGATAGAGTAGTTGGAATGCTTTGAACTGCTTTGTTCCATGGGTCAAACCGACATTGTGCAAATACTGTTATATAGGCAGCAAATTCAAATGTGCTAAGAGTTTGAAACCACAAAATTGGTGCAAGGTATAGTAATGGCTGTTTGGAAGCCAGAGGCCTTGACTCAGTAGGGTTTGTGGCGTGAGATCTCGTTGGGCATTTGAGATATTTGCTCAATGTTCCTGACAGAAAAGGGAGCTTGGGTTAAGGTTAGGGTTAGCAAAAGCCACTTCTTCTCTTTTGTGTGTGAACATTGTTATATGTCCTTAGTATCCCTGCAAAATTTTAGGACAGTTGATTCTTATCGTCATTCTGAAGAATCAACCAAGGGTTAGAGTTTGAAGTGTGTTTCCAAAAGGTGTCTCTGGAGGCAATTTCTCAGTGTGCCTGTATACTGAAGCCACATCTGCTCCCCTGTGGCTAATCTGTTGGATGGTTGATTTCTATGGCTAATCACGAGTGCAGAATTGTATTATGCGTTATATCTATACTACATTATATTATATATACAGTGGTGCCTCGCTTAATGAGCGCCCCGTTTAATGATGAATCCACATAGCGATTGAGTTTTTGCGATCGCAAAAGCGATCGCATAACGATGTTTTAGATAGGTAAAAATCACTTTGCGATGATCGCGGGGAAGCACTTCCCTGCGATCATCCCAAAGGCCCCGCCGATCAGCTATGTTGCAAGGGGTGGAGAGAGACAGCGCCGAAGCACAGCTGATCGGCGGGGGTTTCGCAAACTCCCGCTGATCAGCTGTGTTTCGTCTCTCTCTCTTTCTCTCCCCCTTGCAGCTCCAGCCTTGGCAGGGAGACTGAGGCACCGCTGCCACCCTGGCTGAGAAAGAGCCTCTGCAGGCACAGAAGGTCTTTCTTGGCCAGGGTGGAGGCGCGGTACCTCAGTCTCCCTGCCCAGGCTGGAACTGCAAGGGGGGAGAGAGAGAGAGCCGAAGCACAGCTGATCGGCGGGGCCTCTGGGATGATCACGGGGA